TTAAAATGCTGTACCATTACTTTCACCATCCTACTACAGCCAGATCTGAAGGCCTTTGCCGCATTCTGGCCATGCTGTGTGGCGCGTATCGCGTGGACGGGTTTCATGTTCTCTGCACGTAATAAGCTCGGTTATTAAGCATTCTTTTTTGGGGATGCCCGGTGGCCGAGGGGAAGACGTGTAGTGGCGTGAAGCTAGGCGATTAGGTGCCGTACGCGAGCGCCGGTTCGAGTCACGCACGCAGTACGTATTTACTATAATTAGACATAGTCTTTACCTTGCTGTTTATTCGGTGTTATTTGCTGTATTTATATTTGGTTGTGTATGAATTTGTAGGAAGATTTAGAAGATACAACTAGTAGTTCAGATGAAGAGAAAGACAAGGTGAAAGAAAACAAGGTCCAATTGTCTACCAGCCATGATGATTCAGCACCAAAAAAATTTGTGTTGAGAAGAAAATCAACACAAAATAAAAAAACACTTAGCAAAGAATTAACAGAGGGACGGTGAGTTTATATCTATATTAGAGCCACATATTTTAAAACTATATTGAAGATATACTAGTTGGTTGTTTTTACAAAACAATACATACTGTGTTTGCATGTGTCAGATTTTTTTGTCTGGTCCTGTGATGGTTTTTTTCCTTTTATTTTTGCAGTAAAAATTTGGGGATTGAGTGACCCCTTTTTTTGAACTGACATGTTTCCTGATTTACCGGTACTACCTAATTCAATTGATAGAGTTTATGACAATAATATTTTCCCTAAGTTAATGACTCGCTCTGATGGTCACAGTTATCTTCCTGAAAATCACAATATTCATAAAAATTTTCATGAAATTTTAGTGAAAAGTTCAACTGTATTAGAGGCTGTCACAGGCTGATACAGTGAAAATCAGTGCAGTTTGACCATTTGAAACTAGCAGCATTGGTATTTTTATTTAAATGAGCCAAAATAAATTACCGGTAGTGTCTATAAACACATTGAATCAAGGAGAGTCAGAGACAATCATTACTATAATTGTTATAAGAAGTCACACTAGTCATTGCTTGGTGTTGATAAGCATGTGTAATCCATTTGATGATAGATTCTTATTGAAACAGCCCACCTACATGCAGCTTCCTAAATTGAGTTTTGATATTTCATGTTCTAATTAAAATTCTCATTACTTATCTTCACAGTCGAATGATCACTTCTGTTAAACTGGGACATGGACTGTTTAACATTATCAGTGCTCAAGACAATGCAAGAGTAAGTTTATAATCCCATCTCAGAATTGCTAAGTTTACACAACAACATTTTATTGAAGCCATACGGCTCAGCCAGCTCAAGCCAGCAAAAATGGTTGTGTATACACATTTGGCTTAAGCCGACTCAAGCTAAGTTCGGCTCATGTTTGGGACTACATGACAGGGCTGTGTGGCCATTTTTTTTAATTAAATGGCAATTTTAATGCACTATCCTGGCGTCAACCGGGCTCAGTCAAACACAAGCACTTGCCGACCTTAACCAAGGTGCTTAACCAAGCATTCATGAGTGAATGAATCTCGGCCAGTGGAATAGGCCTTCCCCCATTGAGTCTGTGGGACACTCACCCAAGGTAGGGGTCGACCCTTCTGATGTTCAGCCTAAGGTAGGATTTGAACTTGGGTCCACCGGCCATGAGTCTGATGTGACAACCACTAGGCCACTAGTGACTGGTCTAAGTACTAAGTATTTGACGGTGCTGGTTGCTCTGAGGGAGATAATCTCCTGTTAATCGGTGAGAGGAGCAGTATTTTGACTCCGATAGAATGCTGCCGTGTAAACATAGCAAATGTATCACCATTATAAAAGCAAAGGTTAATGTAATAGATTGCTGAAACAGCAGAGCTATTTTGACTGTCAGGTCAATTGTTGCTATTTTCAAATTTCAACATTGGAGCTATATTTGCCGATAAGCTACTTGTTTAATAGTATAATGCAATAATAATGTACATGTTCATATTGGGGTTTCCATGCATGTTTGTCTCATTAATTATCGTGGGTTATCTCGAGAGAATGTAATTCCCCTAAAATTTTATCAAGTAAAATGTTTACATTGATTCCTGAGACTGCATGTTATTTGTAATTTAAAAAGTTATTATATAGTTTCAAAAGTTTGTGAAATGAAAATGTTGTCAACTGAGGGTGTATGAATGAAGCAATCAGTTTAAGGATTAACACATTTTATATAACATGTGTTGAAAGCAGTATGAACAAACGTCATGGCAATCTGTCACTGCATTTGCCATTATTAGTCCCTGTTCGGATGAAGTCCGAAAACGGGGACTTATGTTTTGACCTCCGTGTGTCAGTGCGTGTGTGCGTCTGTGCGTGCGTCCGGACCTGTATCTTAGAAATGCCTGGACCAATCACAATCAAACTTCACACATACATAATACATGATATCATACATATGCACGTCAATTTGTTTCATGATCTGATTCAAGATGGCCGAATGGCGGCCATTTTTGTGCTAAAAATCGTCAAAATCAAGCATTTCCCGGCTGTTTACAGATGGATTTTGTTCAAACCTTGTATATACGTTGGACATTATAGAACCTTGATAAACATCATTTTGTTTTACGATCTGATTCAAGATGGCCGAATGGCGGCCATTTTTGTGCTAAAAAATCATGAAAATCAAGCATTTCTCGGCTGTTTACAGATGGATTTTGTTCAAACTTGATATATACATTAGACATTGATGCAAATAATTTTGTTTTTCAGATAACATTCAAAATGGCTGACTGGCGGCCATTTTGTTTTAATGAATGGGCTTCTAGACCCATATTTCCAACTTGTCTTGACTGATTATGTTCAAATTTTAAATATTTATTATACATCATGTCATAGATAGACAGATATATTGGCTTGACGATCCTATTCAAAATGGCCGAATGGTTGTCATTTTTGTGCTAAAAAATCATCAAATATCATGCATTTCTGGCATTTATGGATGGATTTCGTTCAAACTCGGTACATACACTAGACATTACGGGTTCCTGATGCACGTCATTTTATTTTTCAGATCAGACTGTTTTAATGAATGGGTTTCCAGACCCATATGTCTGACTTGTTTTGACTGATTATGTTCAAATTTTCAATATTCATTATACATCATGTCACAGATACAAAAATGTATATGTATACGGATATATTGGTTTGACGATCCTTTTCAAAGTGGCCTAATGGTGGCTATTTTTGTGCTAAAAAAATTGTTTTATTTTTTAGATCGGATTCTGAATGGCTGACTAGTGGCCATTTTGTTTTAATGAATGGGCTTTTAGAGCCATATCTCTGACATGCTTTGACTGACTATGTTCAAATTTCATATATTCATTATACATATATTCATAATGGCTGATTTTGTTTTAATTAATGCTGTTCTAGAGCAATATCTCTCAATACTCTTTTGACGATCAGATACAAATGTCAATCATTTAAATGTTAAACAATCATCATATTCCTGACATGTTTATATTCCAGCTATATTACTATAAACAAAACTTTATATCTTAAATTTGATAACTAACGGGGACTGTGCCATGCATGGCTTGTGTTTCATTGTTGTTACTTATGGGTACTGTAGCAGTGTGTCATATACATTGTCTTGTTTATGAACCCAGGCAATGTAACCATGTTGAAATTGATAGGCAAAATGGGTTCTATTAGGAGAATATGAGCAGAAAACATTGCAACACTGAGTAAACTTTCCACCTGAAAGTCAATTTGGCTGTCACTGGGGATTACTTGAATTCTAGCATGACCAGAATCTGTCTCTGTTATGTATATTGTAGATAGTCTAAAGTAAAAGATAGCAACGAATAGTGTATTTCTTTGTTAATGTAGTGGTCACGCACAGCTCCTTAGCAAGGACTGTAAGGTCAAAAACATTAGTCTGTGCTAAGAAAACATGCACGAACACTTAGTAAAGGTGAAGAAACTGTAAATATGAGATAAATCTGACCTGTTTTTAAGACCTGGTCTATACCTTTAGCAAGGCTAAGGAACTGGACCAAGTGTTAACAAAAACGGGCCAGAATTAATCTGTACTTTTATTTTTGAGTGTACTTTCAAAGTTTACATAGCATATACTGGTACTGGTAATGACTACTTGTAAAAGGACTACAGTGGTCTTTGTGAAATGATCTAAATAATACATATTTACTCTACTTCTTGATGTTTTTCCTGAAGGCAATATTATATTCTATCTCTATTAAGTATTAAACATACCTTTTATAACTTTTGTTTTCTATACCTACACTGATATATGCACTTAAGGTAGATAAGTTTAACAGGCACATCTATACCTACACTGATATATGCACTTAAGGTAGATAAGTTTAACAGGCACATCTATACCTACACTGATATATGCACTTAAGGTAGATAAGTTTAACAGGCACATCTATACCTACACTGATATATGCACTTAAGGTAGATAAGTTTAACAGGCACATCTATACCTACACTGATATATGCACTTAAGGTAGATAAGTTTAACAGGCACATCTATACCTACACTGATATATGCACTTAAGGTAGATAAGTTTAACAGGCACATCTATACCTACACTGATATATGCACTTAAGGTAGATAAGTTTAACAGACACATCTATACCTACACTGATATATGCACTTAAGTAGATAAGTTTAACAGGCACATCTATACCTTCACTGATATATGCACTTAAGGTAGATAAGTTTAACAGGCACATCATTTGTTTAGGATCAGGGAATGTAGATTTAATTTATTTAAAATAGCAATCCCACATCCATGGATTCATAAAAAAATGTTTCAGTATGAAATAAACAAAAATTCAACTAAAGAAGAATTTTATTTTTATACAAAATATTGTGTATTATTTTAAACTGAAATTCTCTTAATCGAGTACCCGGTATCTATAGTAACACAAAAATGCATTTTGTATGCAAATTGCAATAATATATACTTGAAGTTACAAGTGTGAGCTATATGGCAATAAATTGTTAACGCTGACCTTTTTCAATGACATTGCTACCAATAAATCAAAACTTTATGGTGTATTTATTGTCTGTATGTAGGTACCTTTTAGGGTATTGAGTTCTTATCAATTGTACTTTTCTGTAAGGTTTATATCCTTTGTTCTCTTCTGTCCTGCATTGAATGTTTGTAATTATTGATGGAATTGTCCCTCAAAATCTCTGGGAAAACTTTTTGGAATAAATCTATGTATATGGTTTCCTTTTTCAACAGAGAAATGCCAAACAGATAGAACGTGCCAAAATAAAGGAGAGGGCACGGAGAGAATGGCAGCCAGCTCATGTGCCAAGCTCGTCAGATGATGAGACAGATGATGAACTTGCTGAAGAAGTGGATCTCAGGTAATTTGTCACCTTTGACCTATGCACAATTCTTTCTAATTTTTCCATCCCATTTTTGTTCCCATTTTTTTTATAAGATTCACACAACATTTAACTTTCACCTACTACAGGTAATAATTGTTGGGATAACACATGTAGTGATATTGTAAAACCTGCATAAACCTAAGTCCTTTTTCAGTACCTTCTTCATACATCATCGTTTAACATACCCCCTTGTGTCGGTTGACCGTTCCTAACTGTGCATCATTGTTTGTTTTAAATTGGTCCATGAAAAAAATATACATGGAAGACTTGTCTCTGTATGGCCCAATTCCTTATTTAAATGCCTCTTAAAAACCAACAACTTTTTCAGTCCGGTCATGGATTCAGTTTAGGTAGCCTTCATACTATATTGTGGTGAGTATAGATAGGAGTAGTATGAACTTGTGACAATGTTACAACAGAGATTTAAGACAAAACTCTCATTAGGTATATATTTTCTTAGCAAGTTGACATGTGTTTTTCTTTATAAATACTATCTTGGTAATTGACAATATTTGAAAGGTTTGATCGATTGAGTTATGTAGTTTTATTACACACTTCACATTATGAATTCACAGTTATTAATTTTAAAATTGAATATTAATTTAAATATGTAAAGCTTTGTAGCTCATGAGCATGTTAACATTTGATGGGTTAATTTTAGAGCATGAAATATTAACATGTAATTAAAATTTTCAATTTGTTTTGCATGATTGTAGTGATTCAAAATATTTTGCTAGTGACCAAAAGTAAATTATTTGCATGAAAGTCTTGCTTTGTATTTTATAGAAGAAACAACAAATTTGTTATCATTACATTATTTTGCATATGAAAATTGTTGCATGCTGGAGTACATGTGAAATGGCCTTTGATGTATTTTTAGTTCTTTATGATTCATCTGCTTGCAATGTCACTCATATGCTTGTGTTCTGCTGTGTGCTTGTTCTCACCCACACATTGTGTGTAAAATAAAGCTCAAAAGGGGATGTGTTTTGTTTTGATACACACTTGCAGCGTGTTTATGGCACAAAAAGATGACCATGATGTAGCTGAGAGGAAAGAAGTTGCATTTTCTCGGTAAGAAAACCACTCCACAACCTGTACACTAGTCAATACTAATCATGTAATGGTGGTTTTATGAAGTGGATCTTAGTACATTATGCTGTATTTCATACAACTAACTTATTGAATAATTAACTTTAATTTATACTGTATATATATATGTATTTACTCTTAAAAGGGGTGCACATATTTTAAAAGGGGAAGTACTTGCAAAATATATTGATTTACATTTGATTGTTTCAATTTGTAATGCCGCCATCTTTAACCTCTATTTAGATAATCATTGTTGCAGAAGTTCAGAAAACACATTTTTTCCCCTTCAACTCTGGATCCTCTCTCCCTCTGTTCAAAATAATCATGTTTTTTTACGATTTTTAAGTCGCATATGTGAGGAACACTGTTCTGAGCTTCTATGACAATACTAGACTGTTAATAGGGAAAATTACACTAGTTATGTACTTTATTTTCCAGGTGCATTATGGGGCTGTAGATTTGATTGACATTGCTGTTTTAAATTAAACAATCAACAACTGACATTTACTTCATTAAATATTGTAGTGTAGTAGTGGTGACTTTGAAATAATTTGATAATAATAATGTTTTAAAAACAAACTAAAGTAAAAGTACCTCCTGCTTGAGTGAGAAATTACCTCTTCAGCTTCAGGAATGTGACTTACATAACTCAGCTCTGATTGTCCATGGCACAGTATATTTATTTAGCATCGTTAAATTTGTTTCTGACCATGGAAGGTACTAATGGAAGGAGCCACGGCGCTATTGTTTTAGCTTTACCCTATGATCGTTTGTCAATGTTCACAAACATTGTTCTCGTTAGCTCTTAACACCTTCATACGATGGGTTACGCTAATCTCAAGCTTTCGATAATATTCAGGGAATGTTCGAAAGCGATAGACGAACCTCGCATGTACAATACTGAAAATGACGTCTAGTTTGTATGCTGTTGTTTCCGGAGATTTTGGCAAACTTTAATAAAAAAATTGGCAGATATAACATCGATTGGAGAAGAACTGATGAACTATCGTGAATCTTTTTATATTTGTAACAGTGATGAGACTTAATCAATGATTGCCTGTGACAATAACCATTGCATTATTCAATGGTACCATTGTCATTGCGTGGGTTTGACGCCCGAAACTATTGAAATTTTCAACCACCGGGCATCGGTGAACACTACCAGAAAAGATAGTATCGAAATAAGGTCATGCCTATACACTTTCTCTGTGATAATATTTTTTAGGAGTCCTTAGGAATTTTTAGTCCCCGTTCGGACGTAGTCCGAAAACGGGGACTTATGTTTTGCCCTGTGTGCGTCTGTGCGTGCGTCCGTGATCACCTGTCTCTCGAACATGCATGGACCGATTAAGTTCAAACTTCACTCATACATCACACATTATATGGGACATATGCACATCCATTTTTTTCATGATCCGACTAACGATAGCCAAATGCCGGCCGCTTTAAGGCCGAAAATGCATTGAAATTGCACATTTTCACCATTCCGAACCCGGATCTCAGTTATGCATGGACGGATTTCGTTCAAATTTGGTACTTACATTAAACATAATAGGACCTTGATGCACATCATTTTTTTTTCCCGGATCAAGTTCGAAATGGCCGACTGGCGGCCATTTTCTTAAAGAATTCAGTTCTGGATCCGTATCCCAGACATGTCTGGATTGATCAAGTTCAAACTTCACACACACATGGTACATCATGTCACAAATAGATATGTGCATTTGTTTCATGATCTGCTTAACAATAGCTGAATGATGGCCATTTTAAGACAGAAAATGCATTAAAATCACGTATTTTCACAATTCCGGAACCAGATCTCAGTCATGCATGGATGGATTTTGTTCAGATTTAGTACAATGTGTTGTACATATGCAGGTGCATTTCGGTCATGATCTGCTTTGAATGTATATGTCACTCAAATATGAACGGAACGGGGACGTGTCATTGACAATGACTTGTTGTTGTAGACACTCAAAATCTTGTTCTTGTTACAGTTGCTAATAATTAAAACATGTGAAATACGTAAAGTCAAATGTTCATCTGTTGAATTTCTGCCTGTGAAATACGTATTTTGACCTTTCACAGCTAAACAATCCGAGTACGCATGTGTGATGACCGTAATTTCATAATGCGCATACATTTTATGGTCACATTTAAAAATCTGCAAGTTTATGTCATATTCCGCTAACTCGTTACTTTTGTAAACAATCGCAAATATCATCGACATCAAAGATGAGCCAGACAATGTCCTCATCAGGATTAACTTGGGTTGAAACAAAAGAAAATAAGCCTGTAAAGAAGTTTAAGTGGCCACCTGAGAGGCATCATGGCTCCTTCCGTTAGTACCTTCCATGTTCTGACCAATGTCTATAGTGCAGTTTGCTTTTAAAATAATTTACTATAAATATATTTTACCATAGTTTTTACCTTGCCCGTACCATCAAAGATGGAAGGGAAAGGTATATTAAGGGAAAAAATTTGTCCGGCGTAGTCATCGTTGTTGTTGTTGTTGTCGTCGTTGTCGTCGTTAATAATTGTTATTGTGTGCATAATAACTTTACTAGTTCTATTCCAACTTTATCAAACCTGGTCACCTTATTCATCAGTATGAAGTCTTCCCCGAGTTTGAACAACAGATGTCCTGTATGAAAATATCATGCAAAAATTGAGAAAATCTGATAAAATATTTTGACTGTTTCTACTTGACTGATCACTGGTGATACACATCAAAGGTCACTGATCTCAGTGGAAATATGCATTGTTGTATGTGTTCAATGAAGCAAATGATTTATCTTGTAATAATATCCTTGGTAATGTATCTCAGAATCCCATACTGGGTTTCAAAATCAACTCATGGAGAGATTGCACAGTCTGATACACATTTGCAAACCTACCAATAAAATCTTTACAGAAAACAAGATGTCAGAAAATCAATATAAGCACTCCTATGAACTGGGTGCCTAACTTTGATCAAGATCTGAAGCTAATAGAAAATCTGTTTAGTTCAAAGTTATCAAATCAAAAACAATTAATACATAAAAAATACATAAAAAGCAAAACATTTCATCCACATTTTAAAAAGAAAATTGTTCTAAAATATATGTATTCTGTATTTGACAAACAGTCGACAAATGAAAACTCGCAGGAATATGTTTCAGCTATTAGAACAGAATGATAGGGTTTTCATAATACTAGTTTAAAAACGCACTTCAAAGATTGCAGTGTTTGAAGATGTAGATTCTCAGGAGGCAACAGTACTGTTGACTTCTCCCTCCACTGGACACCAACTAACTATTTAAGTTGATTTGCATACAAAGCAGAGCTTGCAACATGATAGCTATTCATAAAGGGTGTTTTTTTTTACTTTTCATCTAATACAGTAGTCACACAATGAGGCAGTTCATATTTGTCTCAGTAAATCATTAATTTTTGACAGACACCTGTACAAAATACTTGGACTAAAGCCAGCTAAAATTTTCTGTTATCTTGCATGTTTTATGAATCTATTCACATCTAAATGCAGCACTTTTTTTTTTTGCAATGAGACATTTGTTTTTATACTAAAATATCTGAATTACTTTGAATAAAGCTGGAAATTATGTCCCTTAAAATAATTAAACAAATAAGGCACCAATGTTTTTGTAAGATATTTACATCTTTTAAGGACATTCGGTAGACTGATTCCCCACTGTTGCATCAACCCCCAAAACTTGTTTGTATTCAAAATTAATTATGACAATGCATATGTATATTGAAACAAACTATGATAAAGGGAATTATATTATATAACAAAGGGCAAGGTCACCAGAGTTCAACTATGTTCTCTAGAATGTATGATATTAACCAATTATAATGCAACTTTAACAAGAAAATATAAACTTCTATTAATTAGTAAAATTTTGGGTGAATATTAAATTATTAAAAGTTGCAGCTACTGCTTTGTATATACGGTTTTAGATAATTTTGCATTTATTATTTAACTTGCGATATATGTTACATTGTATTTATTTTAATGTAACTAGATTGTGTTTATTATTATTTAGAGGACTTATCATGCGCATATTCTCCTAAAATGAGCTCTATGTGCATTATATAACATAAAAGACTGTCAATAAAAATCACAAGAAGTATAGAAAAAAACAACAAATTAAAACTAGTAAAATTGACTACTGTGATATGTTTCAGTGCTTTCTTAAATGATGAATGCGAGACTGAATGGTGGATTGAAAAGGGTATGCAATTCTAAATATTTGGACCTGAATATTGGAATGCACGTTCACCATATGATTTCGTCTTGGTGTGTGGTTTCGTTAATATACGATCGTCTGATGACAAATGCAATTGTCTAGCGGGATGGTATTTATGTAGAAGGTCTGACAGGTATTGTGGGTCAGTGTTACTTATTGATAAGTAGCACAAACTTGAAATTTTATATTCAATACGTCTGTTAACTGGAAGCCAGTGAAGCGATTTTAAAAGTGGTGAAATGTGAGAAGGTAAACCTCGCTTGTAGACAAGATGAGCTGCTGAAGTCTAATAAGCTATTGCAATAGTCAAGACAAGATAGTTTGAGAGCAAGAGTTTGTTTTCTTGATGAGAGCTTTGGTTGTTTTCATGGTAGGATTCAAGGTAACCTGTCTAGCTGTATTAATTGTCTCAAATTATGAATTTTATTGACACCGAGAGTAAAATGTATACCAAGTACAGCATTAGTTTTGTAAAGATATTTGGGTAGAAGCTTACTAATATGTCAATAGCCACCTGCTAATAATGCTTTAAAGAGCGGTGGTCGTAGCACAGCGCGTGTTTGAATTTCATGTAAATAAACAATGTATTTTGCACATGTTGTATACGTCGCTTTGAGTCCCAAATCAAACAGGACGTGGCATGGCTACTGCCGCCATCATCTCATTATTTGAAGATTACTCCACGAGTCTTGTAGTGGACAGTGGACTGGTCCTTACTTACTTTATGCATGACAGAACTATAAGTTGCCCCTGCAATTGCAAAATCTATTATTTGACTCAACTAGTAGCTTCACGAAGAGTGGCTTTCATTGTAAGTGGATTTTGTAGTGGGTAGTTTTCACTGGGATTATATAGAGCTTTGTCGCAGTAACTGGTCATTTCATCGTTGTTAAGATTTAAAGTATTATGTGTCTTTAACAACTGATGCTATTCTGGGAATACTGTCCTTAGGAGCTGTTAATTTGCCTTTATGATTTTGTGCAGTTGCTGTGGCAGGAGTTCCTAAATAAGACCAATGCTCTGCTAATGATCGTTTCTGTCAACATCCTAAAATAATAATAATAATAATATTTTATTAGCCTTTGAAACGGCATAAAAATTAACATACAAGTCAACAACAACAAGAAAAGAAAAACAATCTATAAGAAGCATTAATTCATACATACATTCATTCAGTTTCTCGTTCTGAATTTCCATAGGTGGGTGAGAAAGTTTCGGATTTCGTTTGATGTATTATTTCCCAAATCCTTATTGATTGCCCATAAAGCATCACTGAAAAGAATTTTAAATTAATTCTTCCTGAGAAAAATCTATGTACAATAGTTGGTTCTCCACCACTTTCCACTATTGTATTGGTCAGTGCTGAATAGAATTTACTTCTCAAGTGGTTAGTTGATTTGCAAAGAAATAAAAAGTGATAAACATCCTTCCTTTCATCATTACAAAGCTTACATACCTCGTCACCTTTATAATTTTCCTATCCTGTTTTATTCCATTCCAAGTCTATTGCATTTGACCCCACCTTAAAGAGGAGTGAGATTAGTAATTATAGTATGAAACTCACTCATTCCCAGCAACACAAAACAAAAATTAAATATTAATTAGGGAATTTATTATATAACCTGGACAAAAGAAATAAATATATGTCCTTGCCATAATGATGCATTTTTCCCTATGTATGTAACTTCATGCGGAAATCCTAATAACTGAGTTAAAGCTCACAGCTGGCAATTTAGTCAATATTTGGGACTGTCAACTTGTCCATGATGGCCTGTATAAATATTGCATTCACTGACATTTATTTTGTAGTTACATTTGTATGTATACCATAGGGTCCATAGTGTCTTTCTCTTACTGATTTGACTACATTGTGTACTTGACATTTTCCAGTCCTTGTATACTGTATTCTCCAGCATAAATATTGGATTATTTTTTTAAGCACAAGATTGTGATGTGAATTTCGCTCATTAATGGGATACTGTATGATGACGCTATCTTCAGGGTTAAACCTGTGTTTCAGAATACCATATTGACTATCGATATGTCCCGGGTTGTTTACTAGTACTAACCAGTACTTGCTTGTCAGTACATTGTATATACAAAGAAAGTCAGTTGCCCGTGCCAGGAGAGCAGCAGAACTAAAATAATCTGTCAGCCGTCACTGTCCACACCAGCGATATGATTTTACACTAGCAATTGAATCCTCAGTCTTCATATGTAATTGGTATTTCCACCTATTTGCTTAGTGGTCTGAAAGTGAATGCTGTAAATTTTGAGAGTGTGTGTTTTAACAAGATTATTGTTATAATCAAAGATGTGTTGATTAGGAAGTCCATTTTGGGCTTAAGTGTCATTGTCAAATTTTGGAAAGTACACGAGATGTTCCAGTAAGGAATTGTTAGGCATATCAAAAATGCAATATTTGAACAAAACATTATTCTATGTTTTATATTGTTCTATATTCACCACAAAAAACAACGTTGCCATGTTTTTAGGCATACAACGAACTAAAACAGCTGTTTCTCTGAGATGGCTTGATTGATTTTGTTCATTTTTTGAACAACTTCAATGTGATGAGTGAGAAAATAAATAGTGGTTTCTAGTTGATTATAATACAATAGTGTTAGTGAGCTTGGAATTGAAAATTGAGATATGAACAAAATTCTATCCAGTTTCAATATTTGACTAGCCATAATGATGTTGACAATGAGTTTGAAGAAGCAAGTTAATTCAGGTATCATATTTCTCAACTAATTGAAATCACAGTTAGTGAACTTGAATATGTGATGGTACAAGTATTATTTACTGAAAACTGCTTGAAGGGGAGTTCAAGCTCAGTGCAAATTGACATCTACTGAACATATATGGAATGCATTGTGGGAGTTTGTGAAAAGTTCAAATGTTGAATCTACTGAGCATATGTTTTACTGAGTAAATGTACAATGCATTATGGGAGTTAGAGCAAGGTATTATGTTAGTGAATTAAAATGTTACCGAGCAATAAATTCTAGGAGAGAAATTCCATCAAATAAAATAAATTGGATGAATATTATCACGCTGGAAAATGCCAATTTGCTGAAACAATGGTGACAGTAATTTGGGGGTGTTTTTTGAAAATGTCTGAATTAAGTCTGGGAATCTGTTTCCCTGTTTATATATGTGGATGTGGTTACTACTGCTAGATATACAATTGACAAGCTCCCGTACCGTAATAAACTACAGTCATTTTGAAGTTGATTTGCAATGATTCACAACAGACAAATAAACATGTAAACAAAACACACACACACACACACTAATAATAATTTTTAACATCATTGTGTCAAGTAGGGCTTCCACGTAATAATTCAGTTCAACATAAAAAAAATACAGTTTGATTGTATGAAACTGAACAATAATAATGTTGATTTAAATATGAAGGTCGTCCTCTTTCTTCTTTAATCTGATATTGACACACACATACATTGGAACCTCTGATGTTGTGTAGAGTTATATATTACCAATAAATTATTGAGTTATTCTCACAATGTACAGCCTCGCACACTAGTCACAATATATGATTGCAAACACAGTGCTCAACCTGTAATCCAATACTCAGGTTATCCCAATTAAATTATTTACTCTATTGATGTTCACCTTCAACAAAATTAACAATAAAAAGATTGTGCATATTAAACATTACGAATTATAAGTTTTTAGCTCCGCTGTCGACTTTGTCGAGCGGAGCTTATCATATGAGTGATTGTTCGTCGTCGTTCGTCCGTCGTCCGTGTCATTGTTTTACTTTTTCGACTTCTTCTTGAAAACTACAAGCCTGAATGCTTTGATACTTGGTGTATATGTACCTTGGGTAGACCTCTCTTAGATTTGTTCATTTCATGATGATATCTTCAATTCTCTAATTTTGGTGAATATTTTTGTCATTTTTGGTAAAAAGTGATATTTTCAACTTCTTGTTAAAAACCGCAAGTCCAATTTCTTTGATATTATATATATAGGTACTACATGTGGACTTCTCTCAGATTTGTTCATTTTCTAATGATATCTTTAATTTTCTAATTTTGGTGAATATTTTTGTCATTTTTGGTAAAAAGTGATATTTTTGACCTCTTGTTAAAAACCTCAAGTCCAATTGCTTTGATATATATTATACATATAGGTACTACATGTGGACCTCTCTCAGATTTGTTCATTTTCTCATGATATCTTCTGTTCTTTAATTGCCATGTGCATTTCTAACAGCGGAGCTATCTCAGCCGACAGACTGCTTGTTTATAAACAAAATCCTGTACAAATGGTGAACACTATGATGGTTGACATTGTTGTACAATACAAAAGTATGAGGCTATCAAGTAAGGGGTTGTGGGAAAAGTGTGACATCAATTCCCCTGATACAATTGCGGTTAAACTTGAGCACAAATAATATCATTACCATTTAGACTAATTATTATTTACTTTAGAATATTCATTAACTTATACTGGTTTTAATGCATCATTTTGGTTCATTATGATGACAGACATGTGTACTACTTATTGTGTTACATGAATGCAGATTAAATAACAATAAATACAGTCATATAATGTATATAGAATTTGAATGAAAAATAACATGGCTGTGACATTACTGACAATTTTTCAGTTGTATCAGTATACTAGTATATTGTATCAATTCATTGTAACACAGCTAGGCCACATATACCATGTACTGTTATTGTCAGTATGCATTTCATTGGATACTATGACAGAACCCCACACCCTTCCCATGGCTTTTGTTGCGAATGGAAGTTATTTTCACAATTGATGCAAAGTGAAACGAAGGATACACCGCATCACGAGTATGGGGTGTGGAAATACCGATTTTGATTTCAAAGACGAATCAAAATAAACTGCAGTACATATTTAATAATGTGCTTTCTTTTATTTTATTATATTATTTCCCCTTATAATTTAAAAATCACACTCCAGATTTTTCATAATTTAGTATGTGGTATGTTATTATGTAACTGGCACAAGTCTGGAATACAAAACATAAAATAGGATATGAACTAAAAAGAGAAATCACATTTTAATTGTACGAGCTTTATTGGTGTATATTGCAGTAGTTTAAAAGAGACTGCGAACTAAAAACTAATATTAAATTATGTGTCATTGTACCAATAATTGGATTTTTATTGCATTAATAACCTTATGTTAAAGTATAAATAGAATTCTATTGAACACACAGAATGAGTACAACTGTAGCTGAAGGCGCAATTAGTGGGGAGGAATGTACCGACGATGAAACCATTCGGTTTGAGACGCAATCGCCAACCAAATCGATTGTGACAGACATATCAGTGGCAAGTACAAAGAAAAAAAAAAAGAAGAAAAAAGCTGAACCTCCACGACCTTATACACCATGCCATTCAAATATAAATGTACAAACTGATATTGATTTAGAGAAAGAAGCATCTCTGTAAGTAGTCGTACTGTGTATTTAACAATAAAGTGTATCATGTCTTGTGATAATTTTCATTACAAGTATATTTGTATTGATTGACTGGTGAGGTACAAATGGGAGATTTCAAAAAACGAGAGTCCTTTTTATTCATGCTATAACTTGTATGTCTGATATTTACTATTTCTGTTATTTTATATTGTTTAGTTTCAAAATGGCTGATGCTTTTGACCATTTTATTTTGATTTTTGTTTGTGTTAGATCCAATTCTCAGACAAAATGTAGGTGTTTGACTTGTAAATAAAATGAGTTAGTCAGTTGATGCTGACAGTGTTTTTTTCCTCAAAATATATGCCTGCTACTGGGTAAACACAGCAACCTAGGACAGAATCATGGAATTCTCAAAAGTTAGTATTTGTAGTAGCAGTCATGTGTCTCTGATATATTGCCTGTAATAACTAACAGGTTACTACATAAGACAGTAATTTTATTTATATATCCACTCATGCCTGTTTTCATTAACAACTGTGTATATTTACATTACAGTAATTCTATATTCCGTCAACTGTGTGCATTGAACTGGCTATTAGAATCAATGATAGTTGAACCACCTGCAGCTATGGGTCCTATATTACAATGCTGGAATATTAAATACAAGTAAGTCAGGGATGTACCATTTTATCTTGGGGGGGGGGGGGGTAACATGTTCAGTAATTCTATATTCCGTCATCTGTGTATAATGAGCTATAGTCCTTAGAATTAATATTACATGAACATGTCAAATTACATCATTGTAGAAAAGAAAAGCAATTGCAGTAAAAATCACATGCTTTTACAGTATTCCATCAACTCCGCACTTAATATTAATGTGACTAAAATATTCTGACTGTACAGTCTAATTTATTGTACCAGAATACTTCTCCAACTTTTATTTGTGTAGAATAAACATCAATTAAGATAGGAATATTTGTGTTTGTGGGTTCTCATCTTGAGTGCTCATTACTGCTAACAGTGCTGTATTTACTTTTATGGAAACAAAATAGCTATGTCATTCGTGTTGTATTATGGTTGCCATGGTGACTCCTAAAATGTTTGTACTGGTGGCATATGTTTTCCTTATAAATTTGCTGAATGTAATATTATTAACCCCGTACTTTTTGTTCTGAATTTTAGAGAATTGAAACAGAATAGTTTTGGTAAGACAACAGTCAGGAAGATTGGACGGTATAAACAGTATGAGACAAATTGGAAACTTTTCCGTGAACGTCCAGCAACTTATTTAGAAAAGGTAAATTAATGTTATAATGTTTTGAAGGTTATTGCCTGATATTTCAATCTTTTTAACATAAAAAAAATATACTAATATACAGTGACACTGACAATCCCATGAGGATGCAGTTCCAGTCGTATTGCATTGAAATTTTCATACGAATGATGCCTGGGTTCCTTTGGTTGACATGTGACTTGTACTGAACACAGAGATCGGGATCTGGTAAAAGCAAGACTGTGCATTGTCAATAATTGTTTAATTTTTAAATTGAATGGCAAGATTATATTATATATTTAAATTTGTTTACTAGTTTAACAAGAAGCCAAGTCGTTTTTTTGGTAACACACTAACTACCACCAGTGCACGCAACACCCCTCGTCGAGGGTCAGCTGTAGGAGTTGGGAGCTTAATACAGAGAACTCCATCTACACTTTCTAGTAACCATAGTTCATCCCCAACGCCTGTTATGCTTGACATACCGGATAAAGATGAGACAATGAGTAAGGTTGAAGAAGATCCTGAATATGAACGAAGTAAGTCTTTGGGACATCATTCTAACATTCTTTGTAGCAATTACTATTTACACCTAATCATTAGGAAGATGTTGATTGAAACTTTTTGGCATTACTTGATCATGACCCTAATTTTGAAATATGACACCTCAATTTTTGTCACAGACTGGCACTTGCAGCCTAGGATTAGTTCTAAAATTTTCCTTTTGAACTGCTTAGAAATCTGTTTTGAGAGTGAAAATCAAGAGCACATATTTAATGATTTCATTGATGTGGGACCGGTGATCAGGCTACAATGAACATAAGCCCATGGAATCAATACATAATGCAAACTCCAGCAAACTAAGGCAATTTGCTAGCATTGCTAGAACAGAAGGACAAATCTGCATGACCAGATTCATCCCAAATGTACCGATACTTAGGCATCATGATTCAGGGTATACACGTGCCTGATAAACATAAACATGAACCTGTATACAGATGACTGGCTCTTTGGAAACCAGCAAGAAATTGCTATCAGCACACTTCCACAAAAGAAGAAGGTCATCGACCCCACAAATTCAAACTGCCCTCAAGTGGTGAGTGGACTTAGTAAATCTACAGCGGAGATAGCAGAATAAATCATCAACTCAATCCATAACTCTGGTCATGCAAGGACACATCTAAAGTGGTATGAGGGATCTGCACTCACAAACTTGAGATTTTACACCCCAAGAGGGCACATATCTATGCCTACTGGATGACCAATGAATACCGACACAGAACCACTACGAGTCACTGTTACACGCTCAGAAGCTCTCCAGCAATTGACAGCTAAGAAATATTTTTCTAGCTGAGTGTCCAACAACATTGACAGACCCCAATCAGAATCTAACCCGCACTTCTATGAATACATACTTTTTACTTTTTTTTAAAACAACCAAACTAGTCACTGCCAGCATAGTTGCTGTTGCATCGGTAGACCCAAGTTCAAATCTTATCTAAGGCTGAACACCAAAATGGGTTGATTCCTCCTACCCTGGTTGAGAGATTGATTCACTAATGTTGGTTAAGGTCTGTTTGTGTCTGTGTGTTTTACCGGGCCTAGTTGACACATAAGAATAGTACATTAAATTGCAATTGGATAAAGCAATAGCCACACAGCCCTGTCATGTAGTCCTAAACTTGAATATGGCTGTCAGCACTAGCACTTGCACTTTGCACATAAAAAAAGCCAAGAGTGACAACAGTGATATTCAAAGTCCTGAAATGTTGCCTGCCACAAAAACCTTTTTTTTTTTAAAAAAAAACCTTGCACCCAGCAAGGTTTATAGGATTCTGGGCTTGCCTAGGAGGTATAGTTCTGGCATATGCCAGCATTGACCTAGGACAGTGTCTTTGTTCAAGTTTGACACACTGGGACATCAGTCTAGTAAAAGACAATTACATAAGCCTCCATTTGAACTGCTAGAATCAGTCTTCTAGTCGTCAGAGGAGCTAAATTGTAGCCCTCTCATTTGTGGTAAAGGACAAGAAGTAATTACTGCTTGCGAGGACAAGAAAGATTTACTGCTTGCCAGTCAGTGCCCTGCTTATTTTAACATAGAACAGGGAGAGATCTGGAGTGATATTAAACAGATGTTTGTCTTATGCAACAGGGAAACAAAACAGAGCCACATTTAATGTTTGCTGATGGGTTAAACATAACTATTACCCAAGTGGAAATGTTACACACACACAGATGGATGTTCCCGACCTGCATACCCTTATGCACTAGCTAACTCATTGGTCTTGCAATTAACAGAGATGTCCCAGAAGGCAGAAGATCTAAACCATGTCAGCTTGCTATCATAGGACAGACTGCGAGATACATTTTGAGTACAGAAAATTTTATGTTTACGGAAGTTTCCCTTTTCACTATTCATATATGTTGTGAGAGATTTTAGTTTCTGCCCAACTCTCCTACTGGTGATTTAGAATCAACTTAATTATTGGTAAGGGGTCCAGATAGATTACCCATGCCTAGGTGTGCTTTTGTATTCTGTCCAAAAGTTTCAATCGATTAGGTGAAAGGTAAGTAAAATTAGTAGTACACACTGTAATAAAATTAAAAGTGATAATAGTGAAATAGTGAAACCATACATAACCGCCTCCCATCACTTCATTATCAAGTAATACTCAAGTGTTTGAATAGGGTTAAGCACGGTTTTACTGTATCACATTATCATCTCAGTAAATTTGTTTGAAATTAATTTCTAGTAAAGCCTGGGTAAATTATATTGTCAAATTTTGACAATCGTTAAATTGATGCAGCTTGACATGAATTGATGAAAAAGTTTCATAGCCATCATTCTGTCTACCGCATAATGGCTTAATGAATGAACTATTAATTCAGTAATCAATAAACTAATTTTGTCTTGCATTCATGCACTGATTGAATTCATTGTTTGTCCATTGCATTGTGCATCATTGGAAATAAACCATTAAATTTTTGCAGCTTTTCTAATATCAGTATGATTCTCTGTCTTATTTATAATGCAACACTGGAAATAAAAATGTATCCCATCATGCATCATTGGTAACAAAACTACATCCCATCATGCAATAGTGGAAAATAGAAATAAAATCTGCTTCACATAGAAAAAAAGAGCACAATTTTATGATTGTACTAATTTGATAACTTATTGTGTTGACAGGTCCATTTCTTGAATCCAGATATGACAGTGCATCTGTAGCTGGCATGGAGGAGGAGATGGGAGTCAAGGATGTCATCAGAAGGTATTATTAGGGATGAATAAATTTTCATTTCAAAGAGAAAACACCTACACTATCATGTGTGAATATATATGTTTTATTGTGAATTACTTATAATTGTTATGTTTGGCACTGTAGTTTTAACTATATCTCTGAAGCTCAGTTTGTGTAACCTGTCTAATACATGTAAATATTTACCAAATATGGGCAAAATAGTATTCTTAATACTGGTATTACTTAAAGCACATAAATGTTGTATACCAAAATATGGACACCATTATTAAGGTAAATTACATGTGCATGGTCAAGATGGTCATACGATTGCTTAAAATGTACAGTTTTATTATAAAAGACCAAATATGGACATGTTTAACATGTAATTATGAGATTGAATGTTACTTTGTTTTACACACCAGGCAAAGAGCTGGTTCAAGTGCAAGTGTAAAAAGTAGTCGAGATGCTCAAGCAATAATTCTTCTCAGGAATCAAACAAGAACAAATCAACTATCGGTGAGAACAAGACAAGAATGTTAATTAACTTAATTATTCCTCAAATTATTTAGCAGGTTTATTTTTACTCCTGGGTGCAATAGTCTTTGCTTTATCCTGTGTGTGTATGCATGCATGAACTTATTTTACTATATGTTTTGAGGATGTATCATCCTTCGAGAACCATCCATGATGATTGACACATTTTTATAATCCTCAGAAAACATAATTTATATTAATAGTTAATTGACCTTAAACTCAATAACCACTCATCAGCTTACAATACACAAATGAAATCCACAGAAGTGATTAGGTTCAGGTTGAAATCTTTGCTTGTAAACTATTAGTACCTAAATTTGCTTAAATTAGGCAATTATTTGATATCTTGTTTAGCAGACTAATTTGATATATTTTTTATTTCTACTTAATGTACTTCCAATGATCTCAGCACACAGTAGCTGTCTTTGATTCTTCACTGCCTTTTCCTTACATTGTTTCAGCAACAACAATTAGAAAGTCGAAGTGTGCATTCAAGTAAATCAGACAGACATATCAGGACATGGGTTGCTACTACCAGCAGGCTGCAACAGCGAGCTCAAAGGTGAGACATTCTGATCTTGATTTAGATTTCAATTTATTGAATGCTTTCTACAACAGCGAGCTCAAAGGTGAGACATTCTGATCTTGATTTAGATTTCAATTTATTGAATGCTTTCTACAACAGCGAGCTCAAAGGTGAGACATTCTGATCTTGATTTAGATTTCAATTTATTGAATGCTTTCTACAACAGCAAACTCAAAGGTCAGTCAGGCATTATAGCTTTGATGTATAATTAGATCCGCTGTCGACGAAGTCGAGCGGAGCTTATAGTATGACTGATTGTCCGTCGGTTTCCGGCGTCCGCCGTCGTCGCTGTCATCAATTTTACATTTCCGACTTCTTCTTAAAAACCACAAACTGTATAGATGTGAAACTTTCTAGGAAGGTACCTTGGGTCTTTCTCTCTCAGATTTGTTCATTTCGTGTGGATATGTTCAATTGTTCTATTTATAGTGAATATTTTTGTCATTTTTGGTCAAAAATGCTATTTTCGACTTCTTCTTGACAACCGCTAGCCCAAATGCTTTAATACTTGGGTGGACCTCTCTCAGATTTGTTCATTTCATGATGATATCTTCATTTTTCTAATTTTGATGAATATTTTTGTAATTTTTGGTAAAATTTTTATTTTCGACTTTTTGAAAACTGTTAGTCTGATTGCTTTGATATTTTTGGTGAAAAAATTATATTTTTGACTTCTCCTTGAAAACTGCTTGTCCAATTTCTTTGATATTGTATATGTAGGTATATCAGATGGACCTCTGTGAGGTATGTATGGGGGTCTAAAAACTAAATCTGCGTCGCAATTGTGCGACTCGTCCAATGTCGATTATTGCACTCTGCGACAGGATTGCAGTGTCACTCTGCGAAGAGCACGATTCCCATTGGTTGGTTGGTTGGTCGAAAAGCGTGAATCTCAATGGTCGATCGATGTAAGGGTACACAGCATGCCTTATAGAAATGTTTAGTTTTAAATGGTTATTTTGCCTACTGCTCGACTACGGTAAACAAGTATTTACCGACGACATGCCGCACGGTTCGGTAATCAGCAAGTATTTAACATTGATTGATTAATTAAAATATATATAACATCCCCCGGAGGGGATGAGAGGGGTTACAAAACACATGCACATTGGTGTTGGCTGCCCTATTACGGTGTAACATCAGGAAGCTGGTAACATTAACGCCATCTTGAAGTTGTAAGGCTTCGTCCGCAACTATGCTCATTAGCATAGGCGGCAGCTTTAAAGTGGGTAGAGCGCAAAGTACGTTTCACACGATGTTACGTTCTTTTTTTTTCATTAGCAAGTATAATTTGTTATGACTATATTCATCAATAAAGCGTGTATCGTTTTATTAAGAATATTAAGAGAACAAAAACGTAAAGCTATGTGAATGGATTGAAACTGCTGCTGAAGATAGAAAACTAAAACAGCAGTGTCAACGGAAAATTAGATTGGTGCACGCTCTCTGCATAAACGGAAACGACGAGCCGACGAGCAACAGATTTCCTGTACTCACTTCCTCGTCTGATCACCAACCCTCAATGGTCTCGCGTATCGGTGTTGTCATCGGTTATGTAGTTGAAACTCTTTCGCGTTGATGCGAATATTTCAGCCTAATTGTCGCCTTCGAACCACTCGCGAGGTTGGTCATAATATGACCTAGATGAAAAATTCTTGAAAAATAAATATAAATTGCGTAAACGAGGGGTGAACGCGAAAGTCCTGTAATTTTATATCTGAATCACAACAGGCTGCAGGCAAGCCTAAATTAGTAAAATTATGACCCTGAATTGCAGATTTTTCTTTGCCTTGTCTGTCATTGGCGTCTTTGCTTTCTGTCTTTACATCGTCATTGCGTTAGTAAGATGGTGTTATTAAAATAGAATATAGACTTAGAAAATAAAACGATTTCTCAGACAAAGTCTTGACTGATAATAATGCTGACAATGAATGTTAGATTAATATGAATTGTTTGCGTCAGGAAGCTTGTCACCCGTTCTATCAGAATCGTCAACAACAGAGTATTACCGGTAGTATACATATGCATATTATAAACATTATGTAAATGTTAACGAAACGGTAGTAGTGTTAGCGTTTGAGCACTGGTCTTTCAGAAATTTCGAAAAGCTGGGTGATGAATCAAGGTACAAAGTAACCGTTTTATCAATTATTGAAAAATCAAGAAAAGAAAGAAAATTTACCTTCCCGCTACATTAAGATCAATATGGACCACAGAAAATTGGGGTTCATTTAAAAAAATAAACCATAATTTTCAGTAATACTGACTTCGAAAATTATGATACAAAAATAATTCCATTCACACCACAAACCAACGCCGTTTTTGTTTACTTTTCACAACTATTACAAAGTATTTCATTTCTGGTTAAAATACCAGCTAATTGATCATAGACCACAAGTTTGGAGTCCAGTTATGATCTAAACGAAGGCAGACGATTGCAAACAACTGCTGTCATGGCAAAACGTTGCACATCGTGAATGATTTTTTTTTCACTGCATGCAAATTATTTTCCTTGATGCACTCAACAAAGTCAAAGTAGTCATACAACATTCGTTGCAGAACGCTTGAAAAGTACTTCGCGTTCCACTCGCTTTGAAGCTGCCGCCTATGCTAATGAGCATAGTCATCAGGACGAAGCCTTACAACTCCAAGATGGCGATAACGTTACACCATAAATAGGCAGTCAAAACCAACGTGCCCGTTACACTATTTAATTTTTTTAGCCAGCGGTGTGATGTGTCAAATCACCGTAAACCATGTGTCATTTGTTTGGTCCCACAATTTGTCTTCCATGTGCTTGCTGATCGCCAAACAGTGCGGCATGTCGCCGGTACATAGTGTTTACACACTAAAGCTATGCATTATTGGAATCAGTGTTTCATTATACTATAGGACCTAAAGCTATACATTATAGGAATTAGTGTTGCATATACTATAGGACCTAAAGCTATGCATTATAGGATCAGTGTGCATTATACTATAGGAC